GGGTAATGTATTACAATTAGGTTGTAATGAACCCTGGGTAATGTATTCAAATGGATGTAATGTACCCTGGGTAATGTATTCAATTAGGTGTAATGGACCCAGGGTAATGGACCCAGGGTAATGTATTCAAATGGATGTAAAGTACACAGTTGTTGATGGATCAAGCTCTTGGGGTGCTCAATCAAATCATTTAAATTATCTTCTAAGTTAGAAACTATCATTTTAGATGACAATTTATTCTTTATGTAATACATCTAAAAATCATACAAAATAACAAATTTACTTTACCTCCAACTAAAAATGGAAAAGTTGCTGGATAATTTTGTAAATCCTCGTAATCCACAAGACGATGTAGCTAGTATGCCTCTGACATGATGCTTTGTAAAAATGTCTATGTTCTGTAGACTCTAAACATCCTACAGTATTTAAGGGGTTAATGTGATCAACTAGCAAATTACCATGACTACCAATACAGTAATACTCTTACTGTTGTTCAAGTGATTATACAAAATATACATTTTCACCAAATTCTTTCCACTATTTTATTCAATTATGAAGGTGGAAAAAAATGAAGATGTTAAAAATGATAATTTCCTTTTTGTAATATAAATACATTCATATAAAAAAAAAGTATTGAGGAATGATTGAGGGGTAATATGGGCAAGGAAGAGAAGGGTAATTACAAGATAAACAATCATAATTCAGACAAACAAGAACTAGCACTGTACCACTGCTGAGAGTTTTTAGGTTTGAATTTTCAAGTAGAATATTTTATCTTTTACCGAGTATTATCCTAATTGTTATTCATACATCTATTAAAAAATCACCATCAGCTACAGTGTACTGTATTTTTGCGGTATTGGACTAGGTATTGACATTCTACCTCATAAGGACATAGAAATTCAAACTCAGAACATTGCATATACCATTTTCAAGATGTCAGTTAAGTTTCAGAGGCAAGCTCATAGAGAGAAAATACAGCTTACTCAGTGCTAGGAAACATACATCAAACGATTAAAAAATACTGATAATAAGAGAATATCACATCAAATGCATTCAGACAGTAAGTGACCACATCAACCTTTGCTTCTGTCTTCATGCACATGAATATTTATTTTTGAAGAAAATGATTTTCTCTACAAATTTTATTTTTGGACTCAATCCAACCCCAACCCAGTAGAAATTATGTCCAGCCTCAAAATGAGTAAGAACTTTGATCTTACATGGATGTGTCTAAGCGTTAAATATTCAATGCCTGAAATTTTCATGACATCATGATCACTAACAAACTAAATTTTGGGATTGTCACAATTGTCACTATTCCCTGACTAAAGAACACTAGTTACATTCTAACTGCAAACAAATTTTGCGCTTTCCCCCAACTTGCCAAAATAGTTTTTTAGAAAATTAAATTGGTTTACAGTACATGTATATTGATTGTATGTTTGCTCTCTGTGAATGATGCAGTAATAAGCACCTTATGCTACTTACAAATCAACAAAGACGCTTTGAATAAAAACAATACAGATATATTTATTTACATAGCCCAGGGTAATGTCCTATTCATGAAATAAGAACCCCTCTTGCCATAAACAGAATGAAATCCTGCATTAACTTTTTAGTTAATAGTCTCGTTTATACTCTTTTCTTCAGAAGATTGGGTCAAAAATAGCCATATTTTTCAAATAAAAACTTTGGCTCCAAAATTAGGGTTCATTTCCAGAAATATTGAAGAATAGAAGAAAAAAGTGCAGAAAAATTTGAACGAGAAAGTCTGGTGGTGAAAAGGTTGAAATGGGACAGTCGCTTTGCAGCCCACATTCAAATTTCTTGTAAACAAATACTGTATTTTACATGAGGTGTAGATGTAGCCTGGGACTTTATCTAAGAAAGACGTAGTCTAGTCACGCCGAAGGTTTTCCAATCTGGCTTGTAAATCGGCATCAGCATCACAAACACCAGCAGCCTGGGGTTCTTTTGCAGCCCCCTCGGCTTGTGATATCTTTCCTCCAGTGCCAGGTAATCCTACAAATGCATGAATAAGAACACAAAAAAGTGGGTCAATTTCTTTTCAAAATGCAGCATGTTTTTCTAACAAAACCGGGAAAAATGATATTTTTAGGGTGTCCGCATGTGTAGAAAAATAGGGGGTTAGACTCAGAGTTAATTTTATTGCGCTGTTGTTAAAAAACATGTGCTTGGAGTAAAGAAAGCTGGTATCAACCCAAAGTACACATGTTAACCTTGAGATGAAAACAAGATTTACAGAATATAACAACGACCACATAGTAGATGAATAGGCTGTATAGGACCATTGCATTGCAATGCACTGCAATGTATGAACAGAATGCAGGTTCTGCCCATCGATAAAGTTTAACCTATGGATGAGAAATATTCACAAAGCAATCTTGTCCTCCATTTGTTAAGACATGTGAACAAGATCTAGAAGATCAAGTGAACATAGTGGGACTCACCTGCGAGGTCATCTGTAAGTTGTAAGCCAAGTTCATCTAAAACTTGTGAAACAATTGCATCACTGTGAGAAAAAATAAAAATATATTCTGTTAATATATTTTCAAAGGAGCAAGAAGAGAAAGCATCATATTTAATAAACCTTCAATTAAATCCATCTGTGTTAAATATTCATGTTAATCATAGCCCAATCTTATAAAAGCTTAGATTTAAGAGGAAACAAATGAATCTATCACTGTATAATTTCAGGATTATACAACAAAAGACATTTACGTTAGAGATCTCGGCACACGCTGAGATTCGGGACCGAAACGTGTGTGTGAATGGTCGGGACCAAGTCGGCACATGCCGCTGCAACACTTTTTTTCTTGCAATGCTACATCAACGTGAAAAAAATCTTCCTTGCCGTTCATCTGCATGATGACTCATAATAAATACCATAACAACAAATAGATATAATTTAAATATAACAATTATTAGTATAATTATTAATACCATTTTGAGCAGCTTTGAGTTAATACACTGTACACTCATTAATAATTGGAGAGTTGACTGTTACTATGGTAACCACTTACCTTTCTTCTTCATCATCCTCATCACCCATTGCGTCATCTATTGCATCGTTCATCATCTCCTCTTTCATGTCCATTATCTCCGACTGTTTTTCAAATTCCATCATTATTTTTTGTATCTGTGGAAGTTTGAGCTGCAAAATACAAAGACAGTGTGAAATATCACTGCCAATCTTAGGTTGTATTGACTTTCCCAAATAAATATTAAACACAGATGTAAAAGACGTGATGAAGTAAAAGTGTGCTGATTTTGTACAATTGTGATTCCTATCAGATTTGATGAGTGACTCGTGTTCACCACATATCCAATGTCAGGTAAACAAAAACAAAAAATTCAATTTTCAAAGAAATTCAAACAAGCGACCCATCGCCATTGTCATATAACTGTTTATTACAGATTTCAACAGTACACATTATTGGCAAGTAGTTTTCAAGAAGCAGTCGATAATATATTTTTTCTTGAAAAATACTCACTAAAATTAGAGAATCAAAGTTATTATCGCCACATATTTTATAGATACATAAATATCAAGAATCAAAACAATTAGGCAATTTTCAAAAAGACAACAAAAATAGCATTTTTACTAAAAAAATATATCCTTAAACATTCACTAAAAATAACAAAATGATAATATTGTAACAAAATATGAAAGCAATATAAAAAGATATTTATGAAAAGTTGATGACGTCCAGCCAGATAAACAGCAACTCCATAAACACAACATAAGGCTATTTGAGTGTTTTGTACTTTCACTGATTTTTGATGAGTTGAATGTAAAATTAAGAAAAAGTT